GTGGAATCAGAATTATCCTTTCTTCAGATAAATGCTATCGCGGAAGGGCAGCAATTCTACCAGCCGCTCTGCGTCTCAGGGTGGCTCAAGTAGCTCTAAGAGTGGGCGTCTGGCACGGCGGCGTGGATCGAGTGCTGAGGCGGCCATGCAGGCAGAAACAGCTCGATTGGGTGTTTCCAATGGCGTCCTGAAGCGTGGCTTCCTCGTGAAGAAGGGCCACATGATGCCCACGCGGAAGGAGCGGTACTTTGTGCTGGGAAAGCACTCTCTGAGTTATTACAAGCCTACGAAAGACGGGGACGTGGAGCTCAAGGGCGTCCTGGAGCTCAAGTCGTCGGACGTTATCTCTCCACTACCGCACTCGGACGCTTGGCTGCGGATTCGCCAGAGCGAAGGACCAGCCGGGAAGAGTTATAAACTGGATCTAAAAGGTAGATTTCCTCTTGGTGTTGTGCGCCTTAGTCTGGATGTGAGGTGAAGGGAGTTTCTATGGTGGTGGTGGCTGACATTGTGATGACAGCTTCGAATTTGCAGGAGCGACGGGAGTGGATCGAAGGGCTGCGCAAAGCTTGTCGGGTGTGTTGTTTTAGCTTAAAAGTTATTACTACGGTTGTCTTTCTAACCTGTTTCGTTCACACTGTTCACAGAGCGAGCTACTGATGCGCCAGCGGGTAATTCAGAGTGACGTGAGCTTGCTACAAGCACGCTCCAGTCGGCGAGGCCAGAATGCGAAAGCGATGGCAGAACTTCTTTCTTCTCCTATGGCGCCTGACAATACAGGTACCCCTCGGGTTGATCTGCGCGCATCTTTCCAGATTTTTCACGAAATGGTGCTGCTGAAGAAGCTCCTTGATACGTTAAAGAGTTCTTGGGGGCCTCCTTCGCAATGGTCAATGGCACAGTATCAAGAGCTTGTTCAGGGTATTAGTCTTGCCCAAGAAAAATCAGGAAGCTCTGACCTCGATCCTGACAGTATTTTGGCGGAGGCGTTCAAGTTGCGGTACCAGTTTGAGGAAATTCCCGAGAACCAGCGAAAACTTACTCGGGACGAAGATCCGCTTGGTGCTTCGCGTACGTCGACAGCAGAGAACCTAAAACAAGGCGGGCTGGATTCTCCCGTTGCTCCATCTCGAATGTCACCGCGGATACGCTGTCCCTCGTTTCACAGTTACTACGCAACTTTTGAGGAGTTGTCAGACCGAGCTGGATCAACGGTTAAAGCAACAGCCGATGACAAGCAGGGTGACGCATTACTGACTCCTCGCAGTGCGACGCTGGCTAAGTATGCTCACCTGTACCTTTTGGATGACATTCGAACTAAGCAGCCATGGAGTTTGGATCGGACCAATAATGACGACTTAGTCACGGAGCACGAGAGTGACACTGCTGAGCGTGCCAGCTTAGATGAAGAACTTGTCGATGCTCTAACGAGTCGTTTTGATGATGATCGCATCTACACGTACATCAACCACCACACTATGGCGGTGATGAACCCGTATCGATTGTTGCAGACTGCTCGGTTCACGTCAATTTACGACGAGCAAGTAGTCCTCACCTACGCAGACACCGCTAATGCTGAGACAGTATTGGCTCCGCATCCATTTGCAATTGCGAAGCAAAGTCTAGTTCGACTTTTCTTCGATAACGAACACACAATGCCGTTACCATCGACGATATCAAGCAACCGTAGCATGACTGAAGGTCGCGGGCAATCACTTTTTCTTTGCGGCGAAAGTGGGAGCGGTAAAACAGAGCTTGCCAAGGACTTGCTAAAGTATCTGGTACTAGTGGCGCAGCCAGCTCTTTCTAAAGGCTCGGAAGAGACGTGTAAAGTGAGCGGTAGTACTCGTCAGCCCAAGATCAAGCTGTTTACTAGTTCCACTAAAAGTACAATCCAGATGAGGACAGAGGAAGCACGAACGATCGCTCTACTCGAGGCTAAAGGTGTGGAGAAATACGAAATCGTGCTGCTGGATTTGCATCCTGAACGTTGGGACGAAATGACATCGGTGAGTCGAAGTAAGCGTCTCCCTCAAGTACATGTAGACGGACTCTTCTTCGGTTTTTACGAGAAGTTGGAGCATCTTGAGGATGAAGAACAACTTCGAATGTATTTCAAGAACCCGCATGCGGCCAAGAAGCTAAGCATTGTTTTGGACTCGAACATTGTTCTGGAAGCGTTTGGGCATGCTACCACGTCGATGAACCTCAATTCGTCAAGGTTTGGAAAAATGACAACTCTACAAGTTGCCTTCGGACTTCATCCGTGGGAATTCCAGATTTGTGGGTGTCACATCTCGCCGTTTCTACTTGAGAAATCGCGCGTCACAAGCGAAAGAGGCCGCGAATCGGGAGACCAGAACGAATTAAACTTTCACATATTGTATGCGATGGTGGCTGGTGTTAACGCCTTTCCTTTTATGCGGTTGCTGGCGAAAGAGCTGCATCTCGATGGTATAGACTGTTCCGCGCTTACTTATCTCGGTCGGAGCGACCACAAGCTCGCAGGTTTCGTAAGCAAAGAGGACACATGGAAAAAGGATGTGGAAAGATGGCAGCAAGTTATTGATGGACTAGATGAGCTGAACGTATCGCCAGATGAGCAGAAAACAATATTTAAGGTGCTGAGTGCAGTACTATGGCTTGGAAATATTGAGCTGGACTACCGTGAAGTATCGGGAAAGCTGGTGATGTCCTCTACGGGAGCGCTTAACGCACCTCAAAAAGTGGTGGAACTCCTGGAATTGGGCTCGGTTGAAAAGTTGGAGCGAATGTTGATGACAAAAAGTGTAAGTTTGCAGTCGACAAGCGAAACTTTCGAAGTGACTTTGGAAAAAGGTCAGGTAAATCATGTTCGGGACACACTCGCACGCTTGTTATATCAGCTCGCGTTCAATTATGTCGTGTTCGTTATGAATGAGGCCACAAAAATGAGTGCTTTATCCACTGATGAGAATAAGCATCAGATGGATTCTAACGCAAGTGCCCCTGAAGCCGTTTCACTGCTAAAGATTGTTGACGTATTTGGTTTCGAAGACCTCACGCATAACTCTCTGGATCAGCTCTGCATAAACTATTTGAGCGAGAAACTTTATGCCAGGGAAGAACAAGTGATCGCAGTTGCCTACAGCAGTCGACCACATCTGACTGCACGGGACAGTGAAAAGGATGTTCTTTTTATTTATGAACATCCATTAGGAGTATTCGCCTCGCTTGAAGAACTGACTATTCTTCACCAAAGTGAAAATATGAACGCGCAGCAAGAGGAAAAGCGAAACAAGCTGTTTGTGCGCAACATCTACGACCGCAACTCATCTCGATTGCCTGAACCACCGCGGGTCTTGAGCAACGCGAAGCGTCATACTCCTGTATTGCTGAATGTGTTGCCATTTGTGATCCCGCACACACGTGGAAATGTCATTTACGATGCGAATGATTTTGTGAAGAAAAATTCGGATTTCGTCTACGCAAATCTGTTGGTGGGTCTAAAGACATCGAATAGTTCTCATTTCTGTCGAATGCTTAACGAAAGCAGCCAACTGGGTTGGTCACCAAACACGAATCGCAGCATGCTTGGTTCAGCAGAGTCTCGACTATCTGGAACCAAAAGTTTTGTTGGACAATTTCGGTCTCACGTAAATGTCCTCACGAGTCAAGATGACAAGAATATGCCTTTCTACTTCCATTGTATTCGTCCCAACGCCAAGAAACAACCTTCACTTGTAAACAACGATCTCGTTGAACAGCAGTGTCGCTCACAGCGTCTGATCCGGCAGATGGAAATCTGTAGAAATTCATCGTCATCATACTCAGCAATTGATATCTCGAAAAGCACTCTTCTGACGAGATATGGCAGCCTGTTGCGAGAACCTTACATCCTGGATGATGTAGCTGGTGATAACAGTAATCTAATGAATTGGCTCCGCGATCTTCTCCATAGCGATGACTGTTCGACCCCGAGGATAAATATTTCTGCTTCATCGATGGTTCAGTTCAAGTCAATTAACCTGGTGGAAAGACTAGAGTTGTTACTCGAAGACCGAGAAGCCGAAGCCGCGACAAAGATTCAGTCGTTATTTCTTATGATCATGTGGAGACGCCGCTATGCTGTCAAAAAACGGGAACGACGAGGTTTATCGAATGAGCTTCTGGCTTGGTATGGCCCGGAAAGGGAAAACACGGTCAAGAAGCTGCTAACAAAGTATAATGGACGCGAGGACGAGCTTCGCTCGAAACTAGCGCTTAAGAAGAAGTCAATGGTTCAAGGAGAAAAAGCGGTGTATCAGTTGGTAAGTGATCTCCAAGCGCTTTGTCTCGGCACCCAAGGTGGCCTCGATGCGCAGGCAGTAAATGCGATTTTGCAGGACGACGCGATGCGCGAATTGTTGCAGCAGAACCAGAAGATTGTACTGGCCTTGCGAGATATGAGCTTGAACCCAGACATCCTCGAAGCTCAATTGGCTGACCACGAACTGCGAGGGTTCTACCAGAAATTAGTTGACTTTCTGCAGTCAAAGAAAACGGATTATGGCGATAGAGCGAGTATTTCCGGCCGCACAATTGATGAGCTGCCCCAACTTTCTCTAGATGAGCGCGTCCTCGCTGCTACTTCAGAGGAAAATGGCTTGTTGTGGATGCGACTTGTACAAAAAGAAGAATGGGCAGCTTACCGTGATGCGTTGGTGGAGATTGGCGACGATCCCGAGCTACTTCTCTTCCATTCAGAAGAGGAGGGGTTTGTCAGCACCTTAGAGAGATTTCTGGAGGCGCTGGCACTCGAAAAGCAGCACGAAGAAGAGCAGAACGCTGTGGAAGCAATCACAGATTTGGTTCTGCCGTCGACAGTTGATGAAGAAGAAACGTTGGAGGTTCAGAGCTCTACTGGTGCCAGTGGCGAAGATTCCGAGATGCTGGAGTTGCTTTTGAGTGTTCAGTTTGGGCCATCACTGATGGCAGCCATGAACCAAGATTCATATTTCATGCAGGCGTTGCAGGACCCGGTTCTCATGACCAGCATGCAGCAGGTACGGCTTGTTGAGCGATTACTTAAGTATATTAGCTGTGCAACTAACGCACGTGATGATGTTGTACTCAGCTCATGGCCAACCCAAAAGACTTCGCGGTATCGGCGACACTTCAACAGCCAGCAGTGCGAGAGTTTTTTCTTAAGCTGATTGCGCTCTCGTGTAAGTCGAATTACTAGCTGTTTGCTTGCTTACACTGATTCTTTACTATGTCTTGATGTAGTTGCGACGCAAGAGCAGAGCGACGATGAGTGATCAGCATCGATCATGACTGGAGTTTGTACATGCCATATTATTCGAGCCACCTACAAAAGAAAAGCCACGGAGCCATTCTGTCGTATGAGTCCATTTTCATTCTTTTTGTTTGCTCTTCGCCACCCTTAACTTCTGCATTCAACACCGCTGCCCCTCACGCTAGCCACACGTGGAGACAGACGTCTAGTAACGAAAGTAGAGACCAGTGTCCTCGCGTTCATCGCCCTTCTGCGGCAGACCAGTCTCGCCCACGTCTCGCAGAATCTTGTAGCGCTCCGTGTCGGCCTCGTATTCCTCGAAGGTCTTAGCGCACTCCTCAGCGTGCTGCTCCGCCAGTTGCGTGTACTCGGCCGAGCACTGCTGCATGAACTGCGTCTCCTCGGCTGTGAGGTCGCGCAGGTAGCGGGCGGGGACACCAGACCAGAGCTGTCCAGAGGGCACCTGCTTGCCTTTCGTGACGATGGATCCAGCGGTAATGATGGACTTGGCTCCAACCACAGCGCCATCCAGTACCTGTGCGCCCGTGCCAATAATGCAGTGGTCCTGAATGGTGCAGGCGTGCACGATGGCGGCAGGGCCAACGGTCACATTGCTGCCAATCTTGGTGGGAATGTCCTTGTGGATCTTGGCCACGTGCACCACGGCCTGGTCCTGAATGTTTGTGTTCTCACCGATGGTAATGTGGTTGACGTCGCCACGCACGGTGGCATTATACCAGATAGAGCTGCCCTTGCCCACCTTGACATCGCCAATCACTGACGCATTGGGAGCCACGAACACGCCCTCCTCAAACTTGGGCGAGCGTCCCAGGTTCTTCACGGCACGCGTCGAGGGGTTCACTGGGAAAGGCAACAATGGAAACGGATTCAATAGTGTACGAGTTAGTGAAACCAGAACAGAATAGTCCGACAGAATCCAAATTCGATATGGGATCTCCTCTCGTCGCCTAACTTACAGTGCTCCGTGTACGTGAACTTGCCCTCCAGCGAGACACCGACACGGTCGATCGTCTGGCCCAGGGACCGGATGGCCTTGCCTGCCTGTTTCGCCCACATGCCTTTTGAGTCTCTCCAAGTTGAGTTCCGCTGGTGCTGGCCTCCCGTTCGTGCGGCCAAGGGGGCAACACCTCTACAAATCATAAACATGCTGTGATTGGCTGGAATGAAACTAAGCAAACGCATATTATTAATGTTTTGCACACGAACATTCTCCGTAAGCATGGAAACCGTCGGTGAGGGCGAGGTGATTCGCGACTTCGACTACTCCGTGCGTGTTAACCTGGCTAATAGCTCGCTCTGCGGAGATCATCAGCGCTCCGTTGTGCTCAAACTCCGTTTAGAAAAGCCTGATGGATCCGAGCGGCAGGTTGGTGTGAGTATATCGCAACTGATCGTTTCATGACTCATTTGTTTTTATGTTCGGTCCAGGTGGTGCTGGAGTTAGACGACAAGCAGCTCACTCACCTCCTCAAGGACTTTGGACGTATTCACCAAGAAGTACTGAAGCACTCGTAATAAAAAATCCAAAGAGCCCATGTATATTCTCTACTTACTCCTTCTGCTGGTGTGGAAGTTACGATGAACGTCCTCTTCCACCTAGAGAACACTCGCGCTTCCGCACTCCTATACGTCTATACCTTAGTCATCCATGAAGAAGAAGTTGCCCGAGTTCTTCTGCTCGACATCCTTCACGGAGTCGTACTTGTTGATACGCGGGCGGTAGTTCGTAGGATCCCGTCGGAACGTAATCTCAAGCTGCTTCAGGAACGTGTTCATACCCGTCAACAGGCTCTGAGGGGCGTGTGCCGTACACTCGATACCCGGCTTGCCATCGTACACAACCACACGATCGGCCAGATATGTTGCCATGATGAAATCGTGCTCCACGACGAATGCCGTCTTCTTGGCGTGTAGGATAAAACGCTTGATAACCTTGGCAGCAAGAATACGCTGCTCGGAATCGAGGTATGCAGACGGCTCATCGATCAGGTAGATGTCAGCAGGCTTACCCAGACACAGGATGATAGCCACACGCTGCAATTCACCACCAGAGAGGTGAGGAACGGCCTGGTCGATAATGTTGTCAAGAGCCAGCGGCTTGGTCACATCGGTCGCGAACTGCGGGTGGACGATAGCCTCACGGATACGGCGGTGCAGTAGCTCACGCACAGTGCCCTGGAACTTGGGTGCAATCTTCTGTGGCTTGTAACTGATCGTGGAAGTATCGTAACGCAGAGCGCAGTTTGAGATAGCCTCGTCATCACCAGCCTTCTCGGCAGCCTCCATCTCGTCAGACTTGAGCAGACCAGCAAGCATACGGATGAACGTCGTCTTACCGGTACCGTTCTCACCAAGCATACAGATAATTTCCGAATTGGTGAAGTCACCAGCCTCGACGTGCAGCTTAAAGGCGGTGTCCTTCTTCTTCTTGTACATGGTCTTAGTCATTGCCGGGTAGTTGAACGAGTTAGCATCACCCTCTCCCGTGCCGAACTCATCAGCGTTCTGCGAGACCTTGAACGTGAGCTCCTCCGTACGGAAACGCAGGTTCTCCGTGGGCACGAAGCCGGCAAGGAAGATGTTAATACCTTCACGCACGCTGAAGGGCATGGTGACAACACCATAGGCCGAAGGGGTACCATACAGCACGCAGATAAAGTCGGACAAGTAGTCCAGCACACTCAGATCGTGCTCAACGCAGATGACGTACGAACGCGCGTTGTCGTCCACCATAGAACGGATCACCAGAGCGGCCTTGAGACGCTGACGCACATCCAAGTACGAGGAAGGCTCGTCAAACATGTAAATGTCGGCATTCTGCACGGCCACAACGGCAATGGCAAAACGCTGCAGCTCACCACCCGATAAGTTCTCGATCTCACGATCTTGCACGTGTGACAGGTCCAGTTCATTCAGGAAATGGTCCAGCTTCTCCTTCTTCTCGCAACGGGCCGACAGGATGCCGTGCACCGTTCCCTTGACTGCCTTGGGGATCTTGTCCACGTACTGCGGCTTGGTGATGGCCTTAAGATTGTCTTCGAGAATACGCGTGAAGTAGTTCTGCAGCTCCGAGCCACGAAAGTGGGTCAGGATCTCCTGCCACTCAGGCGGCGCGTCGAACTTGCCAAGGTTAGGCTTGAGCTTGCCAGCGAGGATACGCAGCGCAGTAGACTTGCCGATACCGTTCGTGCCAACAAGACCAAGCACTTGGCCAGGGCGGGGCATGGGCAGACGGTGGAGCTTAAAAGTGTTGGCGCCGTAGCGGTGCGTGGTGTTGCTCTCAAGGTCCTTAGGCAGGTTGATAATGTTGATAGCCTCGAACGGGCATTTCTTGACGCAGATACCGCAACCGATGCAGAGCTGCTCCGAGATGAAGGCCACCTTGCTCTTAGGCCCCACCTCAATACAGAGCTTGCCCATGCGCACTACGGGGCACGACTTCTTGCACTCCTGACGGCATTTCTTGGGCTTGCACTTGTCCGTGCTCACAATGGCGATACGCGTCAGCTTGTCGGACATCTTTGCCAGAGGCTTTCCGTTCCGTGGGTCCTGTCCTGTACTGAAGGCCTCTCCCCCTCTCGGCTGTTGGCTGGTTCAGCCCGAGCCGTCGTAACGCCTAACCGCGACAAATCCCGGTTAAGTGCGATTTGTAAGCAAAGACTGATGGAGGCGGTGGACTTGGGTCATGACGGTGATGAAGGACTTGCTGCTAGCAGCGACGAGTGAGTTGAACTCGATATCACGAGGTTATGGAGCTGCTACCTTTTACTGGGAAAACTGGAAGCACAAGCTGCAGCATCAAAATCGGTCCAACGCAAGAAATATCGTCGACAGTAGAAAATGAAGCTGTATGTATGCATTGGTAAAAATCACGACCCACTTGAGGTTTAACTTTACTGATCTAAGACCATGGAGGACGGTGCCTCTGTAGCTGCCGCGTCCTTCTGCTTGGAGGCCGACACATTGAGCTGCGCCTGGTCCTTGAGTGCCGCCGCGGCCGGCTCGATGAGCGTAATGTTCTGTTCCAGCTCGCGCAGGTCGCGCGCCTTGGCCTTGGCCTTGCTGTCCTTCATGCGGTTCTTGTAGAAAGCTGCCTCGCGCTTTTCCTTGATCTGCGTCACGCGCTCGATGGCGTGAATGGTAGCACCCATGAGCTCGCGGTCGTACTTGACAGCACGGTGGCGCTGCTTGTCGAAGTCAAACGTCGTATCCAAGGCCATTTCCTTGCCCGCAGCCTTCCGGAAGGCCTTGGTCCATTTCACCTTGCGTGGGTTGCGCTTGCGGTTAAAGTTCTTGTGGCATTTGGAGCGGCAGAAGCGGAAAATCTTGCTGTCGTTGCGCACGAACGTAATGCCATGGCCCGGGTACACGGGGCTGGAGCAGAAGTAGCACGTGTGGATACGCATGGCTGCTGGTCGCTTGGTGCTGGCGCTGCTCTAGTACTGCCGGAAGACAACCTGCTTCACTTGTCAGTCAAAAGTGATGGCGATTGGATGGTTGGCGACGACCAGTTTTCCTTTGTGGACCACACATCCATAGTATTACAGTGATTTTCGATTTGAGTGCAACAATGGATTCGTCGCCTTCGGCAACGTTTATCGCTAAAATGGTAAGCACACAGTAGATGTATTTAGTCACAGCGCTAGATATATTAACCTTTAGCTTATGTGAATGTACGCGCTCTCTCATACGCGTTATTGATCCCTGCCTCGAGTTCGCTTCCTTTTTAGAAAAGAAAAATAGCTGCCGACACAGCTTGAAAAACCTTTTGATGCAGTGTCCGATTCGAAGGTGCTCGAATCGACACATTCACGAAGAACTGGCTGCTGCTGAAGTCTGTCTTGGTAATAAAACTACAACCGTCACCGTCTCCATCGTATTGCTTGAACATAATTACCGCACCCGTGACGAAAGGAGGTCGCTCAGCGCCATTGGACCCTTCGTCTCTGACTCGCGGAGGTCATCTGCAGTTAGCACGTCTTGTTTGCCATGTGCTGCTGCCTCCTGCTCCGCAATATCGCGGTGCTGCTTGATACGCTCAGACACAGCCGTGAGGTTCAGGTCTGTTACATCGGACATGGTGCTGTCTTCCAAGTTGGGTTGACGCACTGCGCCAACGACACCACCTGATCGCGGACCTGTGGAGTCCACCTCGTCCTCCATGATGTCATTGAACATTATCTGACCAGGTGGGGCGCTGGTCTGGTCATACGGAGAAAGCTTGGGCGCAAGGACCTTGGGTGTGTTGTCCAAGCCCGTGTAGATACCACGACCAGTACCTGGAGTCTCGATGGTAACACTTTGCGGTGTGATGTCTCCAGCGTTGAAGCTGTCATCATCCCCCATCGCACCCTTACGATCCAAGCTTTGGCTGCAGATCGGTCCAGCGAACTGAATAGGGCTACCGTTCTTCTTTTGGGGTGCGGCAGAGCTGCGGCGTCCACGATTAAGAGCGCTGAGATAAGTGCTGCCGCGCTTCTGGCGCATGGTTTCTTCATGCATGCTGAGCATGGCAAACTCCTCGGCGTCATCATCGCTCACAACCGCCACGCCACCCGCGGAATTAATTCCGGTGCTTGAAAACCCGAACATGCCACGGCCCTTCTTAGAGTTGTTGCGCTTGTTAGCATTAGCCTCGGGATTGCGTTCAATCTTGGACCGCAACGTTACGAAGCCGATGACTGCCAGGGCCACTACCACAATGCCGCTGATAATGAGGACGCAGATGACTTCCGTCGATACACCCGAGCTTCCCGAGTCACCTGTTGATGCGGCGTACGGAGTGGCAGTGGTGTCCGCGACCGTGGCGCTCGTCCTCGATAGAACCTGCACTTTGAGGAACACAGCGTAGTCGTACCGTTTGGATGTGGGGGTACTGCTCGGCAAAATCAAATGTGCCAGTAGAGTGTAGCTTCCTGGTTGGTTGAACGACAGTTCCGACGAGTCGAACGCAGCCAGTCCGTCCGTGAAGTTAAGCGGGATGTTGGTTGTGTTCTCTGTTAGCTGTGATCCTGTCGTCACAGGGTTGCAGTCCACACCATAGGTGCACGTCCGCAGGCGTGAAGCGGTGATCTCGTAGTAGTTTTGCGAGATGCGGTCGAGTCCGGCTGCCAACTCCGTCAAGCCGAAGGTATTGGTCTCAAGAGAGCCGCTTGGCGCAAGGCGCTCCGTGGCGTTCCATGAAATGTCTACTGAGTCGTACGCGTACACGTCGCCCGTGGGGAAGGCGATGGAGAGCTTCAGCGGGCAGCCGTCGCCCTGCGCGCTCACCATTTTTACCGAGGAGCCGTCCACCGTGTTGGAATATATAGACGTGTCCACCTCCCAGCAGTATGTAGTGGCCCCGTCCATGACGAAGGCTCCTGAGGAAGAAGCCTCCGACGTCGCTGTAGCCACGTTGACCAGCATCAAGACTGTCACGACGGCGGGCAGCCACCGACTGCCGCTCCTGTTCGCAGTTTCCCTAATGTTCCGACATTGACACCTGCAAAACGTCTCCTTCTGCATGGTAATTCTCTGCTGTTGCTGGTACCTGTCACCCTCCTGCACGAGGTCGGAACACCACTACTGCGTATGGACCGATGGTCGTCTACCTCCTGCACTTCCTCCGCTTCGGAGACCGATTGTTATCTGCGGGTGAAGTCGCCTATCTGCCAGCCCAGCGCTTTGTTTCCACTTCTGGGCGTCTGGCTTGCGTGTATCGCTCAATCGGCAGGATGCAGGGGGTGCTTAGCCGCTCCGGCTTTAGGGCTGCGGATTTAAAGAGACCCTATTGATTGGCAGAAAACAGTAAGGAAGTCCACAACTTGCAAAATAAAATTCATCGATTGGCTGGAAAAGATTCATAAGATCTGGGGTGCGTTGCCAAGTTACACATGGAAAGTGGGCCATCTGGTGGAAGCAGGGCAATGCTGGGCAACTCTCCTAGCTGGTCAGGCGACTCACCTCGGTGGGCCGATTCCGCTGAAAAAAAATACTCCGTCTTGCTGTACCTGTAACGCAAGAGCAAACTCGTTGACGAGAAAACGGTGGCAAAGCTTGAGCTGGAGTTTATAAACGTAAGGTGGCCTGTATTCACAATGTAGTTTTACAGGGCTTGGATTCACATGCCAAAAGTTGCGGGGCGGACGTTAGTGTCGCAGCCGCTCACAAAAGGGGCGAGCTTCGATACAATTGATCTCCAGGCTGGAATCCTCAGCTTTCACTTGGTAAACTTACATGCAATGCAGCGCTGAAGGCTAGCCAGACCGCGCAAATCAAAGACGTCAGTGACACGGGCCAGTCTGCTGAATCCTCGGAATTCAGTACTATAAAAGTACATTTATTAATAATAGTAAAAGAGAGTCTATTCTTTTAACCATTCGTCCAAAATTTCGAAACCGGGAGCCTTCACCGCGCTACACGGGACGTGTCACGAAGTCCTCATCGTGGTAATTGGTTCGCAGTTATGCAAGACTGTCTTCTGCAGCAATCCTTCGTATTGCGACAACTTGGTCAGGTGGCGATGGTCTTGAAAGTAGTACATGTAGTAGTAGTATACATTTACAGTTAGTCTTGATGGAAATTCTTAATCATGCTGCGATAGTATTTGTACTTGTAATTCTATTAGTAATTTACTACTACTACCAACACAATCATCAAGAAATTTCCATTCTTCGTTATGTCTTACTCGTAGCATTCCTTGACAGCAGTTTAGACGTAACGAGGGATTGCAATTCTCTTTCTTTTACTTCTTAATACATGGAAGTAATACTAAGAGCACCTCCAACGGTATTGATAGATACGCAAAATTACACATGAAGTGAGCTATTGCAAAAAAAAATAGAACCCCAACGGCGAATTGATAGGAGACAAAAAGTAACGATTAAGTAACCACACAAAATTGATCGTGCACTACGAGTGAATAAGAGGCTCCTATTCATTTCGCAACACTACAAATTGCACCACA